ACATACATACATACATACATACATACATACATACATACATACTCCTTTCAGCATTCCCTCACTTCAGTTTCATCCTGAATCATTTCATTGCAATCTGCAAAAGGTTGTTTTGGATCTGGATGAAGAAGCCTAAGCAATTATTTCCATCAAAATTGCTTTTTTTCCTTGGCCTATTTTAATCTTTTTTCCTTATTTGGTTTGCCTAGATTCTTTGCAGTTATCTTTTGCTGTACCTACATATTGTATCAGTGGCACCTACCCATCCAGTAAGAACTGGAAAAGAGGACTTTCTTCAAGTTCTGACCCCTCAGGGTGTCATCATCATGGATCATGGGGACAGACCTTCTCTGTCATTGCCCCACTTCTCTGGAACAGCATACCTCCAGAACATCCCATTCTGCTACAATTTCAGAAGGCCATTAAGATGTGGCTCTTCAAGAGGGCTTTTTAAGTATATGAGCTGGTCAGTCCTGAAGAAGAAGAATGCTGGTAGCAGTGTTTGTGGGTTTGTTATATCTTTGTTACAGTTTGTAATATTTTGTTCTATTTTGTTATTGTGTGCGTGTTTTTTTTAATCTGTATACTGGATTTGGAGTTACAAGTTGCTCAGAGTAATTTTTAATTGGAGCAGCAGATAAGTCTTAGTAAACAATAAACAATCACCAGTCTGTGGATTCCTACTTTCATATGCACTTACAGCTTAGATGACACCAGAATATTTTATCTGAAAAATAATGGCCTTTCAGGTTATAGTAAGGTTTCCACAGAAAAAGACCTATAGATGGACTTACTTGGACATACAAGTTACATTTTAAAAAGGAGAGATGAATTGTTCATTCTCTTTTGCATTATATGTTTTTAAAAGCAAAATTATGGAAACCTCTTCTTCATTAAGATTACTGTCACTCTTCTTTGGCATGCAGTTCTGAAGATTCATGAATGAAGAAAATCCTTGTTGATTTTCTCTGAGCTTTTTAACATGTCTTAATAAATACCTGCCTTGAAATCCAAGTAAAGGTTCATTTCCCCAAATATCTTTGTTTCTTTTTGTTTAGATTGTATGGTGTTAAAACATTAAGAGAAGGAATACACACACAGTAGTTAGGCTAGATTGATACTATTATCCTTTTAAAAGTTTTAACATGTAGTTGCATATAAATATAATCTGTATCCTTGATATTCTGGCATAAATAGCACTAAACAGATTGAACGCAGAAATAAAATAATTGAAGATTTAGAATTGATTTGCGTTTTGGAGTCAGGAGTTTATTAGTGGGCTTTTTACTTATTGAAGAGTTTTTAAAAGATTTTTGGATTTGCTTTTTAAAATATAGATCCAGATTAATCAGATTAAAAATGTGACATATTGGTAACTCTATTGAGCTTCAGATATTGTGTAAGTAGCCACATCTTATATACTGTCTAAGTCTTTAGGCATAAGGTTAGCAGAATTATCACTTAAGTCTTTTTATTCAGGCATGAGTCTAACTTCACAGATGTTAATTAATGGTGCCATTACCATCAAGATCTCATAATTGTTCTGTACAGCTGTATGAATGGTCAATTTAAGAAGGTTTAGATGGTCCAGTATTCTGTTCTCTCAGTGTCCAGTCGTGTACTTCTGGGAAACTCACAATCACAACATAAATGTACTAGCCAACACTTGTGGATCCAGTAGCTGGTATTTAGTGTTCGACTGACTTGGGAAGTGTTCTATATAGCCATCATGATTAGTAGCTATAGAAAAACTTGTAAATTATTTTAAATCTAGCAGTACCTATGGCCCAGGGTAACCTGGGTGTTTCTGCTCCTATTATGTTTGTGTTCAGTAAAATAAAAGTTTCACCAAAAGTTCAAATAAGGCTTTTTAGCATATTATTTATTGTTAAGACAATTTTGTATACCAAACATAGGAGGAATGAGAGAGATTGCAAATCAGGTGTCCCAGCCTAGTGTCTTCCAATTGTTTGGGTCAACAGCTGCATACCATCTTTAGTGAGAATTCCAGGAGTCATCCAACATGTTTATAGGTATTAAATACATAGTCTGTATCCCTTTAATTTTGGGATATGGCTGAGAATCACAGCCTCTGTTACTTAAACCATTGCTGTGATACTACTTGAAATTCAGTTATTGTTAATAGCAGGTATGCTGAACTGGAAGTATCTTCCCATCATGTATTAAGTTTCCAGCAGTAATTCTTCTCAGAAGAATATCATATACCATGTCTTCATTTCCCTAGGAGTATATTGATGCTCATCCTGAAACTATCATTCTGGATCCTCTTCCTGCTATCAGGACATTACTGGACCGATCAAAGTCTTACGAACTTATTAGACAGATAGAGCTGTATATGAAAGGTAAGTCTCTAATGTTTTTATTTGGAGACTAAAAACTAGTTGTGGGTTGGTGAAAATTAGACTTTTTACATTTGTGTGTGCACACGGATAAATACAGTCCTATTAAACGAAATTGTTTATCACCCTATCACCAAAATAATAATAATAATGATAAGGGGGAGGAGAAGGAGAAGGAGAAGGAGGAGAAGAAAGCAGCTATGCCAGAGGTTCAACCCTAGTGGATGGGTCTCATCAGAGGAGGCAGACAAAGAGTGCCTCTCCCATAAGCAATATGGTGAGACTTAATTTACAGAAACCTATACTGGATCAGTTGTCATCCTGATCAACAAGGACCAAACTAGTTCTAGTTCCTGGAAATCTGCTGACAACTGGGCTACAGGACTCAGGACTGTTGGCTGAGCAACCAGGGCCAGCAGCTGCAGAACTACTGGAAGAAAAGTTACTTACCTGTCGCAGATATATGAAGACTGAAAACAAAGAAATAATTATCTACTACAAATCAAGTCCAACGAGAAGAGGATATCTGAAAAGAATGCACCAGTTCGGGAAACAACATCCAGAATAAAAATAACAGAACAGAGGCTAGCAGATCAATGTTGATTTATAATATGAAATAAAGTATTCACAGAAGTAGAATTGGAAGAATTGCAAAGGTCTACCCAGGACAAAGAAATCGAAACCTTGCCAGAAGTAGCTCAGACTGTAGAGGCAAACCAGGGGGAGTTGGCAGCTGAGGAAGCCAGCATAGCTATTGAATTATTTTCATTCTCAAACCAAGCACCTTCTCTGCCTTCTCCACAGAAAGAACAAAGCCGTCTAATGAAAAAACAAGAGGAATTGAAATAAAGAATAACCAAGCATCTAGAATAGCGCAAAAACAACAGAATAAAGTTGCCTGCATTGAAGCTTGTTACAACGAAACAGCTAGCACAAATATTAAAATATGCCAATACTGTAATATCAAATATAAGTATCAGCTCACTGTAAGAAACAAACCAACTAGCGTACAGCACGGGTGCAGTTATAACTGAATACCTTGGATGCAAAATCAACAAACAAGAAAAAAAGCCAAACAGTGTACCACCAAAATGGAAGA